CAAAAGCAACTTAACTACCAAGAGAACAAGCATGAATGGGTGCTGACCTCCAGCAGTTTCCATTGTCTTCTTTTTATAGGTACAGCACACAAGGAGAATGAATGCAAAAACCGGGCAACTGAACTTCTGCAGGATCTTCATAAGCAAATGTACAGTGACTACTGTGACTAGCAAGATCAGTGTCAGTAAGGTAAGTAGGATTTTTGGAAGCTATGTTAATTTGGAGACTGTTTTAGTGAACTTCAGCGTGATTGCCATGTGTCAGATCCCAGGCTGACAACAGATTAAAGGAACACGATGGGGGAAAAGTAGTTCAAGATGCACTGCTTGAGTTCCTGCTGAGCGGAGAAGCAAGCTTCATAGAACTTAATGGATACTGATGACTAGGATTATAGCAGCAAGAGCAAGACAGTATTTTTGGATAGAAATTTCAGAGGCAGAGTGAGGAAATTAGCAGTCAAAATACTTGAAAGCTGCATTATGCTACTGCACATTTCAAAATGCCGATTGCCTGCTATTTTGTGAGGACATAAATATGTTCCAGGGTTAATCAGATTTTTGCCATTACCAGTACCAAGTGTATTTCTCTTCTAATTTTATAACAGAAAAGAAGAAAATGCTTTCTCAATTCTTTTTAGCGTTATTTGAACCATATGGACTACTAAGTGCAGCCAGCAACTACTTTTAAATGCTACAGTTCTTCCACTGAGGCATTATTATCCTTTATATGATGAAAATAATTTTCTTTATGTCCTTGGGAGATGCTTGTATTCTACAAAGCAGAAAGGCCTTTCGAGACTTAGTTTCTAAAAATAGCTTACAGTCTTTCAAGAAGATGAGGAATGGGTCTTTCAAGGGATGAGCTTGATTAGTCTGTTTATTACTTTCTTTTTTGCATTTATGGATCTTGAGGATCTGTAGTAGTAAGCACTGGAGAACGAGTTGTTTTTCTTAAACAGGTTCTCATTTGAAGAGTCGCCAAACTGATTTCACAGAGCTGTCATTCAGCCTACAAAGCTCAAAACTGATCTGCAGCATTATCACATGGCAATACGTACTTGGGGATTTTTCAGGAATACACTGAACTTCTTTAAACCTCTTCCCTCAGGCAAAAAGTCACGCTATTACGGAGGAAGAGGACAGTTTGTGTGGCTAATTCATAAATATGTCATTTTGACCTGGTTGTCAAGGGAAGCAGTTTTCTTTTCGAAGAACACTCCAGAACCTTGTCTTAGTACCTAGACTTTGTTTTACATGTACTGTGAATGAATCAAAAAGGTATTTTGGTTAGGGCTCCTTCACGTTGTACAAAATGAAGCAAATAATGAAAGAGAAGTTCTATTTAGAAAGTAAAACATATCATGATGGTTGCCCAGCTATAAATTTTATCCATTCAGCAATCTGAAAAATATTAACTCCAATTCTCTAAGAATTCATTAACAAGTTATGATGTTAGGACATCTTTCCTGAAAAAAGGAAAATCTTCAGTCTGCAATGTAACATCTATTCTACTTTTTTCTTTGATGTATGGTATTTCTGAAAGGCTACATACACAAAAGCCCCTTTCTTGACAGCCCATCTGCAAGAAAACTGAAGATCACATGGGAAACATTTTGCGAGAATCTGCTGTAGAGGACTGCAGACAGAATGCTATTAAATAGTTACTTTGCCTTAACTACTTTTTCTTTTTTTTTTTGAGAGAGAAAGCGAGCGAGGTTTCAAGCTTTAATCTCATACACAAGCTCGTCAGAGCCCAAATCTATCTGTAATACTCTCCAAATCAGAATGAACTCAGAAGGATGACGTTCAATCTTTAAATCCTTCTCTGCAGAGCTATTTTTAACCCTCAGGTTCACAAAATGGATCCCTGCTGTGGCTCCAGAGCTTTCTAATGTGTATTCTACCTATTATGTTTGCCACAGCCACATGTTAGAATTCAGCTGCATTTAGAACTAGAAGGTTTCCTTGCACGATTTCCTGTGCAGTGTGATAGAAACAACTCAATGTGACAGAACTCTACCACTGTCACTGGTGGAAAATCAATTATCTCCTCTTCTGGCCACTGTTACTCTTTTCACTTCCACCAGCAACTCTAATTCTAACCTTCTGGATATTTCTGAACAATTTTTTTATCTTCTTATTTTGCTTTCTTCTCCACAGAGTGATGTAATAAATAAGTGTTGCATAAATAATGTCAAATAAAACATTTTTCATATCTTGAAACATTTCCTCAACAACTATATTTATTTTGTCCCTTTCTAAATTAATTCCCAAACAATGTAAAAAGGATATTCAAACCTTTGATACAATTACTGTCAACCAAAATGCACCAGCTTTCCAAGAACTCCTGTAATGTGTCAGGCCATTGCTGTTTTATATTTACAAATTAATCCATCTAAGCTGGATTAGAACCGACACGCCTGCTTAACTATAGGTAAATACAATCAAAATATACAATCATTTTGACGATCTGAATTGGGAATCTTATAATAAGCCACAGTTGTTTCTTAGATTTCTGACTGCATGCAGTTTATTACAGTAATTGCTCATGAACTAGTGTAATTTTTACAAATGGGAAGAGATTTATGTTATTGACCTGAGGATATACATGTATCTCCAAATGAACCTGCAGGCTACGTTCACTCCCTACAGCAATAAAATCTTCATTAAGACACTTTGATATATGTTCATGTAAATTCAGCAGAACAACGTTGTGTAAACATTCTGGTATGAAAACAGACCATTACAGTCAGGAAATTCTGCTAGTTTTACATGATTCTGGAAATCTTCATATTCCTCATTTCGGCATTAATTTTCTGCTTAAAGTTTTCCAGGAAAAAAATGCACCCTGGAATAATTTTTTATTCTAATTATAGTTTGATGAGGGTGCATACTGAGCTGACACCAAACCTGCACTCTATGAGTGATGTATTTTTCCAGTTCACATCCAATTTTAAATAAAAATATCTATCTCCTTTCCTAATGAACTGATACTAGATTTCAAAGGTCTGGAGGATTTGTTTCCTCAAGGGCATTTCCTGACTTCAAAACTCACTTTTAAAAATCCTTAACAATAATGCTCTGATTTTCTAAGAATTTGGAGAAATCTTCTCATTCTGATGCATCCTTCGTATATTGGAAGAAGGATCTGTATCTGTGTGGTTTGAGATACTGAGCTATTAAAGCTTATATTCCAAAATCCTGTTGACTTAGACTGCATTCACTGCTTTTGTTTAAAGCCCATCAAGGTCAATGGAAATATTCCCACCAATGAGTTTCTATGAGTTTCAGGTGATGTCTTTTGAGACCAGGAAACCCAAATCTCTAGAGTCCCACATGATGGTTACTTCTGACTTCTTTCTCCTAATGTTTAAATCAAAATGACCTTGAACTACAGAAAGTCCTCGGTATATTGGTTTTGGAAGAGTGATGAATGCTATTAAAAGAATCAAATTTTAATATTTGGTTTAAATATTACACTTCCATTTTTCCTTTCATGAGGCCTTTGTTAGATAAAAGCCTGTTGGTGAACCATGCAAAAAGCAAGAGAAACAGAAGAATAAAAGTAAAAAAAAAAATTGAATCCACTGAGAAATCTCTAAATGATTTGCTTCATGGCAGCAAATCACTGAAGTCTCCAGTACCATCCGTTGGCTTTCCTGTACTCTGCAACAGGTGACTAATTTCAGTTTGCATAGAACTTATCACTTGCCCAGTCAACCTTTGTAAAATGGGATGAAACGTATTGTGTATCTCTGAATTACTAGGTCTTTTCAGAAATCTGCCTACTCCCAGATTAAACCTCAGAAGAATAAATATTTTCTTAATTTATTAAACCACTGTACTCTTATTAAAAGGTAGTAAAAGAATAGTAAAAGAGGAACAAAACTCCTCCCTCTGGCTTAATAGAAACAGAAGAAATTTTCAACTGACAGTTAACAAAACAACATACACTCTATCAGACATAGCGTAAGGAAATACTAATGCATTTTCCTGGAAGAATATTTATGATCCAAAAATATTCTGTGACTTCGTTATAATTCAAGGCACAGTTTGTTACAAAGATTTAATTCATTTACTTTTTTGTTCTTCTTCTATATATTTTCTGCAGAAGTCCCACTATTATTTATTCCACAACCTTCAGTGAATTGGAAAACATACCAAATTTACTTAAATAAGGACATTATTATTACTACACCCATTTGACACTGATCAAATGCATGCAATAAACTATCCTGCTATATCTGCTTAAAGTTAAGGAGGAAACGCACTTACTGTTTTAAGGGCATTAATAGGGAAAACCACTTCCAGCTCTAGACAGATACTAGCTTTTCCTCATTCTGCAGTACTTCTTAGGAAGTACTGACTAAATCTTAAGCAGCCAGAATTAAGGCAGCTCTGCAATCTTGGAATGAAACGAATAACATAGCGAACAAATTCTACTAGGTGAAGCACACAACAAGAAAGTTGCCAAGCCACCATATAAAAACAGTCACAGAATCATAGAATGGTTTGGGTTGGAAGGGACCTTAAAGGTCATCCATCTAGCTCCAACCCCTCTGCAGTGGGCAGGGACACCTCCCACTAGACCAGGTTACTCAAAGCCCCGTCCAGCCTGGCCAGTCCAACTGTAAGAGAAGGCTCTGACTGTGGGTAGGGCAAGTTTAGGTTATGGTAAGGGTCAGAGTTAGAAAAACAAAGGGGATAGCCCTTATCAGCAGCAGCTCTTTTCCTGCGTTTGTAGGTCTTCTACCATTCTGAAAGACACAGGACCCTGGACCTCTTACCTATACCACCGCCCGAACCCAATCCAAGCAGAACCTCTACTCAGGATCCTTTTTCCACATTTGGAAAAAAAACCCCACATGGTGACTCCTGAAACGCATTACTCGCAATTAGCAAGCAAGATGCTAAAGCGACAACATTTGATGGAAGAAAGGAAGCATTTATGCGTGCGTATACATGCAGACACGCACACAAGGATGCACACACTCACTCACAGTCTACTTCCAAAATGGCACGGACAGACTTGGCAAGGTCTCTGGCTTCTGCGGCAAGAGCTGTTGTGACAGTAGGTCCAACCCTTCCCAGCCGTGCAAGAAGTGCTTTAGTAGACAATGTTGTTCTTCTGTCACTAAGAGAGCAGAAAACAGTAAGCGTTTATTTGTAACATTATAAAATAAAACGTTACATTTAGTAAAGTAAATTTCTGTTTCTAGATTGGTTTTGGTCTTACTGTATGAACAAAAAAGATTCATGCAACCAGATTGATGAGTTTGCCTTAGAAGCAGTTCTGTCTGTACAATAAAGGTATTAGGAAAGTTCAATTCAATAACCATTCATGTCTCAAAATCTAGTGTCAAAAAGTCAGTGGCTGTCAGGAAAGCAACTTACTTAGAAGTAATTTTCATATTAGCATTTAAGAAGGGACACTGCTTTAGGGGACCCAATTCTTATCTTCTGTTACTGAGTCAGTCTGTCACCTTAGCTTTGTGTTTTGTGCTTTAATCCATTTACTAAAATAAAGTCTACAAACTTTATAAAATGTGCAACATCACTCTTGTGCAGTGCCAATGGGAACTGCATTTAATTGATTAGGATTAGCATATGAGAACACAGACATCTACAATATAATAGTTGATTTGATCCTGCAGATTTTTTTAAAATAAAGTTCCAGCTAATGTCACTTAAATACATTTGATTTTCTTGAGAGCTTTACTGAAAAAGATGGCAGAACAGAAACCAAACTTTACTGTTACATAAATATTAATGGAACACATAAATATTAATGGAACAACCTATATATCTGGGATATATAGGCACAATCATGCCGATATTCTGAAGGACCAGAGGCTGCTCTAAATCTTGTTGAATATTCCTAGGTGCCTTTTTAAACAAGAAAAGTAATAAAACTTAAATGGATATACATGTTATCAATTTATTTATATGCTACTGGATTAATGATGATGCAGAACCGCTTGGGCAAATCTAAAAAACGATAGAAAAAAAATTAGAACGCGCTGTTAAAGTTCCTTGCAATTTTAATTGATCCTTAGCACATTATAATTACTTTATGAAAACATCCAGACAACCATAGCTATGTAATTACTATCTCTTTTAATTTAATTCTGAGTTTTTTTAAATGAAGCCGTATCCTGAAAGCCTAATTTATAATTCATGCCATTCCCCCTCCTCCAATAAAATGACACTCAGAAACATACAGTAAAAAATATAGGAAAAATAGTACAAGACAGTTTTTGGAGACTTTGAAACAATATTGGAGTTTTTAAATATTAATATTGCCATTTAAATATTACTAACTATGCCATTGCATTACCTTAAAACTGTTGAGGAAGTAGAGTTATCTGAAAGTATTTCATGCACAACCTGTTGGCCATAGTCAAGAAGTTAACAGTTTATAAATCAACACAGTCAAAAAGTTAATACCTTATAATTCAATGTTTTATTTAGGTGCTGGCAATTTGATTTGTAATTAGAGTCTAGTCTCTCCCAGCTAGAAGTGTAAAAGTAAAAACCAAAATACTATAACCCCTTTAAATGAAATAAATATCATGAAATCACTGGTTTTGTTTCATAACATTTCCAAATACCATCAAATGTTACATTTTCTGCCTTTTTCCTCTGGGGAATTTAACAGAAATTGATGTAAGTTTGTGAAAATTAGGTGAAAAAAATTATCTGATCAGCTTCATTTGTTTAGTGTATAGCAAGCCATAAAGATTAAGTAAATTCCTACATGGGTGTGTACACTTATACACCATCTTTAGAAATGAAAGGCAAAGTTACCTCTACAAATTGCAGCAATTTTTCAGTAGCCACCTCAAAGGTCTTCCTAGCCGATTCTGATTTCCGCAGCTGGCAGTCAAGCACTGTAACTCTCTTTCTCAAGTCTTGGATGTTATCCTGGGCAAGACATTTTAAGGTTTTTATTCTAATAATTTTCTGCCATGGCTCACGCAGATACGTGGTGTGAACTGAAATAGATATCTGGTACATTTAACACACATTTTCTCTTCTACATTTCTGAAAAAAGTAGCTGCTCCTGAGGCAGGTATGCCTGAACTGCGTGTAAATCAGCTCCCAGACTGCAACAGACTTTGGAAAATGATATAAAGGTAAATTGAAATTGGCAGCTAACAACAGTCTTAGGGATAAAATTTAAGACAGTTTGAACTGATTCATGAATGGATCAAAAATACCAACCTGATGGTTACAGTATCTGTCAGCAGGGTGGCATAAATAGCCAGTATGTGAACGAACTCAAGTCCACTAGTTTGCATCTGTACATCGTTTGGCAAACGGAGTAATTATGGCATATCTTGGAGAAAATGACCCCCTAGGGTTTCTCTACATACACTTGTATAACCTATTGATCAGTGTTATGCATCCCTCTGTACTTCAGCTACAAAGAATGTGAGCCCCATTAGACCAAGTTCTGGATACTCAAGGTTTCAGCTTGAGTCCCTGGCACTGCTCGTGTGAGAGGACCACGAGTAAAGTCTTCACATGTATATGGGCACATTTGTTTAGCTAAGTTGTTTGCTGAACAGGAGATCTAGACCAAAATACTCTCCAAAATTAAGACAATATCGCTATCAATGAAAATAAACTTTTACATCACTGTAGGTGATCTTTTCTGAAAGCTCAGTATAAAACTTTTATGAAAAAACACCAAAACCCACTTATTATCTTTACTTGAAGCAAATGAGTACACACATTTATTTGTGTACACTGTACAAAGCAGCAGAATCATGATCACTCTGAATGTCAAAGAATCTGTTGATTAAAACACTGTTCTTTGGTAATCTCACTACTAAGAGTGGGCTTTGGTAAGCCCACTACTGAAGGAGCTGGTAAGCCCTCAGAGGGATCTTACTCTTTTCCATTAAAAAGAGTATACTACAGAGCTGGTACCTACTTCATACTGCTGCTTTTGAGTAAGAAACACAGAGAATCAAATCTCAACTCAGATTTTTGAATGCTCACCCGGAATTTCAGGAATTCAAGCTAGCACCTCAGAAACAAATCTCTTAGAAAGCAACCCACACGCTCTGAATTTCTTAAAATTTTGATATTTATTCAAGTCCTAGAAAACAAACCGTGCTTCAAAAATACCTGACATAAAAGATGGGGCATCTCACCCAGATGTTCAGAAAGAAGACCTTCTAGAGTGTGATTTGTCACATCACACACTCTCACAAGCAGATGAGAGGAATTCCTCCCTGGGAGCTACGTGTACTTGCTATGTTGCTTCTTTGCAGATTTCTGTACCATAGACCTCGGTTTTACCTTTTAATACTTTTTAATATTGAATTAATTCTCACTATGAAATAAAGCAACATTTCAGTAGGTTTTCTTCATCAATTCATACGCACATCCATTTCTCATGAGTAAAATAAGGTAAGCACACAAATGCCAACCTGCTTGCACATGTTCAAACTGCGTGTAGAAAATGGATCTGCAGTTACGGGGAAAAAATTCAAGAGTGCCTCAAATATTTTATTTCTTTGCATGTTTTCAAATGCCTCACTGGAGATGAAGTGGTTTTAAAACATGAGGCTCAATTGAAAAAAAAAAGGATACTGTTAGTAGCATTTAAATTATTACCTTGATTAAATCTAAATTTACTTAAAACAGTACTGGACTTTATATTGTTATTATTTGCGTAATGGAAACATAAAGATGAAGGCCATTTTTACATAAATACAAAAGCATACAAATAAACTTGTAGTCTTTAAAGACAATATATCTGCAGACCAAAAGCTATTCCGCTTTAATGCTTGAGATGTGCCATTTTGACCTATGACCCACATATGCTTCTAGCTCCTATTTTTCCAGCCCAAAAATATCTGGATAAAGGAAGACTCACACACTTCACATTACCCCCTTCACTACACATCATTCCAGTTATTGAATAATACAAGACAAACAGTGACCTACTTTAGAAAAGCAGATGAAAAGAAAATGAAAACAAGATACATGACAACAGCAAGGAAACCATGGTAACTACAACAGGCGACTGCTTTGCTTACTTTATTTTGGCCAGAATGATCAGTGAGCTGAGCCTTCAGCTCTACAATTTCAGCTTCTAATAGGTGAATTACTTCTTCATAGTCCATCTCCATTCCACGAGCCTGCCTTTGTGCAGCTTCTGCAAGGTGAATCCTACTTCGCAGGGCTCTTGTCTCTTCTACAGCTGCCTTGGCTTCCTACAGATGATAGGATTTAATGGAAAAGTTACAATTCCAGCTCACAAAGAAGTACAGATTTAGCTCAAAATTACTGCAGTTGGCGTTAGGGCTACCTTTTAGTATTCATGGTTAGATGGTTCAATTGCTAATTTTTAAGTGTACAATGTTCATACAGAGAGCAGATATTTACAGAGAGAGATAACTTTCCTAATAAATTAAGTCATGACTTCTATGATTACTGTACATCTAATTGAATGAAAGGTTTTATAGAAATGCACCTGGTGCTGTTAATTTGCCCCACCACTTCCGTGCTAAAAAAGTACTTCAATGAGATGGTATTTCATTTTACTATTATTGCCTGAATTCACACAATTTAGAGTTCGCACATCTTGTAGATGGACTTCTAACACAAGTATTCAGTTGAGATTGTTCTCAAAATAAGTGCTGCTTTTTATCTTTCTGCCTAGTTCCTGCTCTTGCATCGTTACCCTGTATTATCACTGAAGAGTGTTATTATAAAATTTATATATAAATAATGAATAGAAAACAGAAAATTAGAAACTGTTGGCTTTTAATTCAGCCAAAGTAATCCCTACATGTTGTCAAATCTGATTTAGAGAAGGATATGGCTCATTTAATTTTACTACTGAGTATTAATTCAAGTTAAGTTTGATTTGTAAATTTTATAAGCCAAAGTAAAGGTCTGGACAACAGATGAGTTTACACTAGGAAAAAACAAACAAGCTGCTCATCAAAAAATGTAGATGTACAGGCTCACTGGCACCAAGAGCAGTAAACTATCTTCCCCCTTCACTTTTTATTAACCTGTGGAAAAATTCACTTTATATGAATTTCTTGAATCATGAAAGTTGTAAGCTTCAAATGTACTAATTCACAGAGTTTGAAATTCTTTGTATAAATTCCTCAGCTAAGGATACTTAGGTGAATATCCTATTCCTAGTTTATCTATCGTATTGTATTATTGCAACTATATCCTGGTTGGGAATAGGACCAGAGGGGAAACAGGTAGGGGTAGAGAAGAAACAGACACTAAGAATCTGTAATAAGTAGGAAATAATATTCTAGAAACTAGACTTCAAATCACTTTTTCTGAAAAACCCAAATGACCAAATCTTCCAATTTTTGTGGAAGAAATGTCATATAATATTTAACAGGTGTCACAATATTAACGTCTAGAGAGGTCAGTTAAGCTTACAAAGGCAGATTTAATTCTATTATTTCCTAACTTAGAAGCATTTGTTCTGTGCAATCAATATTCTTCAAGTCAGGTTTTCCTATGATTTTTCACAATGTTCTCTCTGTAAAACGATCTACCAATCTCAGTTTCAGATTACTTTTAACCTGTACACTTTTAGCCTTAATAAGTAATATGTATTTATTTGAGGCCATAAGTAAACTAATCGCAATGACATATATAGGACATAATCTTTCTCATATTTATAATGGTTTTGCAATATAATACCAATTTGGATGATTGCCAAGGACATTCTGGTCTCTTAGAAAATAAAGCACTAGAAGAAGTAAACACACATGTAGCAAACAGCAACATCATTAGTAAATACAGATGACATTAATGTTAAATAGGTTAGAGGTTTCTGTTATAGGAACACAAGTGATAAGAGACAGATTTAAATAACCTTTAATTTGACAGCAAGTGTAATGATTTTTATTTTTTTTTCTTTTGGAAGCCCAAAGCATTAGATGAGACTATTCTACATGATGATCATCTCCAGCTGGAAACACAGACTATTCAAAAGCCTATTGCCGCACGTTCATTTTACAGTTGTCTGCACAGCGTTAAAAGCAGTGCGAGGGGCCATTACTGAAAGCATTCACCGAAACACCACCACCACAAGCCACCCCTCCTGAAAGCTGCTCATAGCAGTTCTTTTTCCTACAAACAATTCAGAGAACACAGGAGCCTCTAAGAAGCTATGAATCTACAGAAGCAGAGATTAAAATTACTGCCTCTGTAGAGGGCATTTTCTTGCCACTGAAAGAAAGAGTGGGGCTCAGCAGCAAGAAAAGCTGAGCCCTCCTGATACAAAGGATGATTCGGTAGCCTTCAGTAGCAAAGGTATCCCTCTGTAACAGGCTGGAGGTGGGAAGATAAATGGAGATAAATGAAAAGATGCTCTGATGTTAAGTTTCACTAATATAATTGAACACAGAGGCCTTGACAAAGGGTGGCATCTTCAAAATGCACACATAGGAATTATTCAAGTAAACCGACATCAGAAAAGTCATGGGAAAATTGCTAAAACAAAAAAGGAGGTCTTCATTTTGAAATAAGACCTCCTTGAAATAAAGGTTTAATCTCTATATAATCCAGAATTGCCTTTACTCCTTCATTGTTTTTTCAGAAACCCAATTGTTGAATATTAATTTCTCTATAATAGCAGACTAAGTATGACCAGATTTCAACAGTGAAAGACCTAAAGGAATAATTAACGAACAATGGATTCTTACATTACAATGAAACGATTATCCACACTACAACTGAATTAGCAAAATTTTCTGACAAACCAGAGCTGTTTGCTAGAGCAGGGAGGCACAAAGGGAACCGATACCATCAGGTTTCCCAGTTCTACAGTTACTGAAGCTGGCACTGCGGTGACTTGGTGGGTTCTCTTACTTATGCAGGTGAGGGACCCACCAGTGAAGAACAGATGGATTACAGAATGCTTCAGCAACATTTTCTCTTGTCCCATTCAATTGCTGGTATGAAGGAAGATGCAACAGAAATGGCATCTGCAGCTGCTAATATTTCATCTACATAAATGCTTGATGGGACCATTTGTCTTAATCTGGTGAGAAGCCACTACAACAAATAAGAAACTGCAGGCTGGAGGAGAGCAACTGAATCCTTCCCGAATCAATTTGAAGGTACAGGTTTCTTTCAAAGCCAGGTTCTATTTCTTCCTGGGATAAATTCAAGTGTCAGGAGAAGGTTTTATCCGAATAATATTTCAGCCACCACAAACATTGGAACAAAGTATTCTTTTAAACTACACAAAAAATTATAGTTACTCTTCAATTATGTTTATTAATTTTACAAAAAATTGTATGCTGAAAACATCCTTTAAAGGAACTTTGAGTATCTTTACTATATATTAAAATAAAAAAGCTAATGAAATAAAAATAAACCAAATACTTCTTTCAGGAAGAGTGAAATAAATTATATACTGCTTCCAAAATAGCAGCCATTCAAGTCCTAGTCTTCAAAGTGCCTCTTTTCCCCTTAGAAAACACAAGCATAGAACAGGCAATCCTAGCCCTATGAAACACAAGTCCAGCAGTATGGGATACCACAAACAGTGTTACGACCTTTCACATTTGCTATGTTTAGCCGAGATGCTTCAGCTGGCAAGAACTGCATAAAAAGAGATCATTCAGGTTGGTAGGACTCAGGACTTTCAGGCAGCACAGAATACAGTCGGACTCGTCCAGGAAGATAAAAGACACCATTACACATTTCACATTCACGGTGTTGACAAGACTTCAGGTACTCAAAAGTGCCTTTCTGTTTTATGCCAATTTCAGCTTCCATACGATTTCAAGGAAGACCTAAAGATAGTGCTATATCACAATCTCAAAGTAAAAATATGTCAATTAATATATTTTAATTGCCATAGACCAATATTAGAAAATAATTACTACCTAATTTCAAATTTAGCAATATTTCTAATCTTAAGAGTTTGTTTATCCTGTTAGCTACCGATTCAAGCACCACTAATGAATGGGTACTAACAAAATGTGTCCATTAACCAGAATATTTGTACGCCTGTTCTAATTAAGCTGTATTCTCTGCAATTCACAATTAGTAGACAATAGAAATGCCACAAAAGATGCTCCTATATATGACTGGTAGCCTGGATCCTCATTTTAAACCTTGTTTTTTGAGGAAAGCAGCGATTTAAAAAAAAAATTTAAAAAGTTTAAACTGAACTAGATTCAGAAGACGTTAAGCACATACTTAGGCTGGTTTGTTTGTTTACTTTTAATTGGGACATTAGGGCTCAATAATACACTCATTAACTC